GATGAAAACTTAGGAGCTTAATCCCACACCAGTTTGACCATGAATAACATCAGGTGACCAGTCTGACTTTTGTTTTTGTTTTTTTTTCACATTGGACTCCAGAGAGAAGAAATCCCATCATACTGCTGTTTAAATGTTCACTACGTCAGAACTTATTCAGCAAATGTGTTTCCATCTCTGCTTTTGTGCATTAACTCTTACAGGATGGAGGAAATTGGTCTTGGCGGAGGTTTGCACTCTCAGAGTGCTTCTAGTTTTTAAATGCTACTTTTTTAGATTTACCAGACACATCATGTGTGTTTTCACAAAGTATCAGTATCAGATCAGTATCACAGATACCAGCCAAATGTTACTTGGTTTCTGTATAGGGACTAAAAAATGGCAGTATGGAAGCAGTATGGAACATCACTACTGACCACACCTGGAAAAACTGCTAACCAACTTACTCTTTATAAAAATGAATGCATGCCTCACATAACGATGGTGATTTTCATAGTTTCTCTGAATAAGTGAAGTGCTGATTTCTTCTGCTCACCCTGGAAGACCTTCTGTACGGTGAGTGGTCTGTTCCCCTCGCTGGAGCCCACTCCTCCCTGCAGGCTGAAGCCCAGATCTCTGCTGTTCTTCTGCAGCTGCACACACACTCGTTGGCCTTGCAGGGGTGGAGAGACAAAAGGTGTCACTTTAAACTGCTCTAAAGCTTTTTCAGCTAACCCAGTAAAGCATTGCCCCTCACCTGTTTCCTGCTGACTCTGTGCTGCTCGCTCCTTATTTTTATGCACTCTCTTCTGTGAAGCACCGGTGACATCACCTTTCCTCAGCACAACAACCACCATGTCCCGGGTCTTCGCCCTTCTTAAGACCTGTAGGGCCTCCCAGTGGGCAGTCCCACTCAGTGCAGTGCCGTTGATGGACAAAACCTGATCCCCTTCCCTTATGGAGCCCTCCTTGGCTGCAACACCTGAAGGAAATACCTTGTGAACCTGCGGAGAAAACCCGGAGAAACAAAAGCAGTGATGAGCCTGATGGCGGTGTATTTGGGGAAGGAAAAAGTAGTGTTTTCTCACGGTGATGGGTTTGTTTTGGTCTGCTCCCCCTGCCAGACTGAAGCCCAGTCCCACCCCAAACTCCTTATGAAGAACAACAACCTGGATGTCATCATACTCCTGAAAGAAAGAGTGAGAAAATGCACATTTACATGAAGCAATACTGTTTCTAGGTTTAAATAAACATCTAACAAGCAAAGATGAAACAGTGAATAAGTTGTTGTACCCGCAGAGTTTCATCCCCCAGATCTTTGACGTCCTCCAGCAGCTTGTCCAGCTCCTCGGCAGGCATCAACGACACGCAAGAGAAAGCCGACAAGTCCGAGCTCAACGAGGCAGAGCGCCGGTTGTGTTGCTCCCACTCGTCCACGTCTTCGTCCGATTCGTATTCAGCACCAGAAAAGTTGCACAGCTCTGCAAGACTAACAGCAACAAACTGAGGATTAGTAGAGAACGAGGCAGCAGCTGTATGGACGACCTTGGATGTAACAAACATTACCCACCTCAGACTGAAACTCCTGCGATCTGATTGGCTCTTATTGCTGGTGATGGTCACCGAGGAATCCCCCGAGTCTGAATCATAGTTTGAATCATCGTCCTTCTGTGTGCTTTCATCATCATCCTCGTAACTACCAATGAACTCGTTCCAGCCCTCGTACGCAGGGTTCAGGCCCGCCACCCAAGCGTTCAGGTCCAACAGCTGCTTCTTTCCCTTTGGGTAGGCCGTTTCATCATTTGGATAGAAGACGTCTGACATGTTGCTTTCAGAGTCAGTGGCAGGAAGAAGAGGAGGGAAGTCAGTTTCATCGGTTCGCTCTTCTCGTCTTCTGCAAACGTCTGAGAGGTTTTTGTGGGAGAAAGTGGCAGGAAGAGGAGGGGAGTCTGTTTCATCTTCTTGAACGATAACAGAAGTGTTCTTGTTTTTATTGTCTGCAACAAAAGGGTGTTTTTCTGTTGGAGCAGCAGGAAAAGCAAAAAACAAGCTGTCGGGGATGTTTGTTGGCGTCTCGTCGTCATCACTAACAGGTGATGGAGTTTCTTGCTGTGGCTGCAGAGGGACTGAATGCAGGGATGGCTCGCTGTTGCTTGTTTCTTTCTTGCTCGAGTCTTTTGGGCTCGAATCTTTGGGAAAATTGGACTGAAGGTAAAACATTTTACTGTGTCTTTGAGTTCCTTCATCCAGAGGAAGGTGCATTGTCTTTTTGAGTCTTGAATATTTATCAAAATCCTCAGAGAGGTAGTTTTTGTCCTTGTCTGCTAAATGCTTTCCTTCGGTTTCCATCTTCTCTAACCGTAGTCCAACCTCGTCCACCGACAGGGACCTCTTTGATACAAACTTCTTGCTTTTTTCTCTAGCTTTCTCTTCCTCCCCACCCTCTTTTGTCATCTCCCACTTAACTCCTCGTTCACGTATTTCTTTTGCCGACCTGCTCTTCTTCACGCCGTCGTGGCACTTGGGTTGTGTCGGTGCATAAAATGGCCATCTTGGTAGCTGTATTCCATGTGTAGTATTCTGTGTCAGAGCCTCAAACTGGTTGATCTTATTTCTCACACTGGCTGAAGAATGGACCGACAGAGTGTCTGGAAGCTTCTTCCCCTCAGCTGTTTTCAGATCATTCTTCTGAGGATTTGTGTCAAACATGTCTTTGTCAGCTGTAACACTCCGGGGTTCGGTTTGTTTTGTTGTTCCTTCAGCTTTTTCTTTGATCTTTTCTTGTACTTTTATTGGTTCATTTCTGTCCTCTGAAGTATTTTCTGGTTGTGCAGTTCCAAAAATCTCTCCTGCAGTTCTGGCAGACCTGATCTGAGCTGCTATAGAGTTTCTGCTTCTTGCTCTGTCCAGGGATTTTGTGCCAATTTCCATCATGTCCTTACTCCAGTTAACTCCTTCCAAATTCTTGCTGTTGAACGATCCCTGCCACTGCTTTGATGGTGAGGTCTCTTTGGATTTTATCGTCTCTGGAGAAACCACAGTCTCAGACCTCTGAGTCCAGATGAACGACACCTTGGTGTGCACTGGACTGGAGTTACCTCCTGTTGAGAACCGCCTGGGAAAGGTTCCTCCTGTCGTACTTTCGCCGACTGATTCATAAAGTTTCTGTATCCGCTCTTGGATACTCTGACCACCTTTGGGCCCAAAGAAAGTCTCTGTGAATCCTGAGCCATGCCCAAACTCAGATCTAAACCTGGAGGGGAGAGACTTGACTTTGTTGGCTTTGTCCAATGCCAGATCACTGTGATTCGCAGGGCTTGTTTTCAGATGTAGCGATGTCCCCTTCCTCGTTATGTTGATCCCAGTTTTGGTCCTGCTTTCCTCTAACCTAAAGTCAGTTTTTCTTTGAGATGGCAGCATGGTGCGACTCCGAACAGGGCTCCCCGTTCCTGATCTCCAGTCAAAACTTTGACTTCTACTTGGCAGGTTGGATCTCCCCAGCCTTTCAAACACAGAGTTCATACCTACATCAGCGCTATTCTCTTGGTTTGTTTCGTCCGCTGCAGTGCCATTCTGGTGCAGCTTTGATGTCAGCTGACAGACTGATGTATCCCCCTCCTCAGTCTGATCTTTGACTCTCTTGTTCCCATCATTTGTTGAATTGTTTGTGCCTACACGTGTCCCACATTTCTCCTGTTCTTTTGCAGCTTCGGACGTTTCCTTCTTCCTGATGCCGGACCTGCGAGTGAACGTGTAAGTTGGGGAGTTGGCCGAGCGGATGGTGAAACGGGCGCCTGGGCTCGGCGTGTCGTTGTCACTCATTGGAGAAGAGAGCACGGACAAGTCCACTTTTCTAAAAGCTAAGAAAGTTTAATGATTTTTGTTTTTCCTGAATAATATCTGCATTGTTGTTTGGATTCCTTGCACCAAGAAGCCTCCCGTCCCGACACTGCACTTCAGTGTGTAGCTCCCATTGTTTGCCCAACCTAAAAAACACACAGTTCCATTTTGAGAACAGCTCAGGCTAAACTGGTGAGACGTACCACTCAAAATATCCAAAACAAATGATCTAAGACGTGTCCCTGTTTTTCCGTGTGCACCTGTCTGAAAAGACACAATCACTGAGGAGCTCTGGGCTTCCAACACATATCATGACGTCTGTTTACACAAGCTACATTCTGAAGGCTACCTGTCAGCTAAGCCCGCATCGAGAACTGGAAAAACTCCCCTAACGGGCATTCCACTCAGCAAAAAACAATGCTTTGAATCACCAACACCAGTCTCTGTGCAGAGCGTTTCGGTCTCGTGGAGACAGAAATCGTCGGCCACAGATCACAAAAAGAATAAAAACTTTCAGCAGACGGGATGAAAAGAGTTGAAAACAAAAGCACTTCGATTTACATACGATCTGCTGAAAGACAGTTTATCAGAGAGCTGATCTGCAGGAACAGAGAACAGGAGGTGCAAAACACTGAAACCATCTTTGAATAAAAGGAAAATCAAACTGTAGTTCTGTGTAAAAACTGCTCCAGGTCTGACAGAACACATCATTTTTATTGAATTAAAAATGTTTGGAGGACTTTCTTTAATGCCAACCTCTAGTGGTGCTTTCCAATATAGGTGAGTCTGAGTGTCGGTTTACAGAAACACCTGTTCTGCTCGCTCACAAAGCCACTCATCTGAGTTACCTGGGCAACACCTGAACCTTGGCTAAACAGGAAGAAACACATGCACCGACTGCACTCACTTATTTTATGAAGACATGAGTCCATACCTTGTAGAACTGAGACGTCTGCTCAGGTCCTGAGCTGTTGTGTTGGTACAGCGCTCAGTAATGACATCAGCTGCTCTCCTCTTCCTCCCGTCTGCCTTTCATGACAGCCTGAGCTCAGTGACGCTAACCTGCCACACAGGTTTACCCTCCTGCTCTGTCTCTACTTCTACTTCCTGTCAGCCTTTGTCTCTCCTCCTCTCGCCATTGTTGTTGTTCGTCCCTCACAGAGTAGCATTCCTGACGACAGTTCAATGTGCTACCCAACACACACACACACACACACACACACACACACACACACACACACACACACACACACACACACACACACACACACACACACACACTTCTTGTAATAATGTAACATCAGCATTTTGTAGTTTAGGGGAGAGGAGATACATTTCACATAACTGTATGAAATGTTACAAATAACTGAAGGCAGAGCATTTAACAAAGGAATGCACATCACCCCCATTTATACACCTGCATATAGATTTAGACCTTTAAAAACCTTCATAAAGACCTTTAAAAACCTGTATATAGACCTTTACAGACCTATAAACCTTTATATACCTGCATATAGACCTTTAAAAACCTGCATTTAGACCTTTAAAAACCTGCATATAGACTTTTACAGACCTATAGACCTTGACAGACCTATAGACCTTTACAGACCTGCATATAGACCTTTACAGACCTATAGACCTTGACAGACCTATAGACCTTTACAGACCTGCATATAGACCTTTACAGACCTATAGACCTTGACAGACCTATAGACCTTTACAGACCTGCATATAGACCTTTACAGACCTATAGACCTTTACAGACCTATAGACCTTTACAGACCTGCATATAGACCTTTACAGACCTATAGACATTTATAGACCTGCTTATAGACCTTTACAGACCTATAGACCTTTATAGACCTGCATATAGACCTTTACAGACCTATAGACCTTTATAGACCTGCATATAGACCTTTACAGACCTATAGACCTTTATAGACCTGCATATAGACCTTTACAGACCTGCATATAGACCTTTACAGACCTGCATATAGACCTTTACAGACCTATAGACCTTTACAGACCTGCATATAGACCTTTACAGACCTATAGACCTTTATAGACCTGCATATAGACCTTTACAGACCTGCATATAGACCTTTACAGACCTGCATATAGACCTTTACTGACCTGCATATAGACCTTTACAGACCTATAGACCTTTATAGACCTGCATATAGACCTTTACAGACCTATAGACCTTGACAGACCTGCATATAG